TCGAAGAAAGAGGATTTGTGGGTCGTCATGTGGGAATTACAGTGCACCATAATGTTTGAATTCTGGAGTTGGTAATGGAAAACCAGTTTTCATTAGAGTGGTGTTGGTGTTTTGACTATCAGAACACATGCATGGGTTCATCTGTTTTTAGGGGTTTTATGCAGCTTTGAGCAACTTTCAACAGGGAATACAACTTAAAAGAAGTTTGGCATCACCCTTCTTTATTTTTCTTATATTCTGAATGTCCATATATCTCTTGAAAATATTGAAAACATTAGTTGAGAAGTGTGTATGTGTGATATACACACCAGCGTCTGTTGAGCGAGTGAGTGAGTATGGCTTTATGCCACTTTTAGCAATATTCCAGCAATATCACAGCGGGGAACACCATGGGCTTCACACATTGTACCCATGTGGAGAATCGAACCCAGGTCTTCAGTGTGACGAGTGGACGCTTTAACCATTAGGCTACCCCACTGCCCCTGTGGAGAATCAAACCCAGGTCTTCAGTGTGACAAGTGGACACTTTAACCATTAGGCTACCCCACTGCCCCAGCATCGCTTGAAATATTTGTACAAGTTTACTCTACTTTGTGGTCACAGATACTCAGTTATATCTGATGTTAAGAAGCAGAATAAAGTATTAGAGTTGTGAATTAATAATTAATATGGTCATAATCATTTAAGTCTTTACTCTATTGTTTATTTTTGAATTTACATAAATATTTTTCAATGTTGAGATTGAATGAAGATCAAATATTCAGTTGAGGCTGTGTTCTTCACAGATACTGTGGACTTCCAGACAATCTAATCTGTTGATACATACAGGACTTTAGCACCACCATTTCCGTAACCTGGGAATGTTCGTTTTCAAATAATTGGTTCCATCGGGTTTGTTTGTTACTGGTTCCATTTGTGGTTGATAAATCATTGAGCTGGGACCAAACTTGTTTGTTTGTTAAAAATCATTGAGCTGCAATCTATTCTGTGGTTGATAAATCATGGAGTATGACTGTGGTTGATAAATCATGGAGCTGGGACCAAACTATTCTGTGGTTGATAAATCATTGAGCTGGGACCAAACTATTCTGTGGTTGATAAATCATTGAGCTGGGACCAAACTATTCTGTGGTTGATAAATCATTGGGAGCTGGGGTTGATAAATCAAACTATTCTGTGGTTGGTAAATCATTGAGCTGGGAAAACTCATAAATGGAGCTGGGACCAAACTATTCTGTGGTTGATAAATCATTGAGCTGGGACCAAACTATTCTGTGGTTGATAAATCATTGAGCTGGGACCAAACTCTTCTGTGGTAAATCCTGAGCTACCAAACTCATAAATCCTTGAGCTGGGACCAAACTATTCTGTGGTTGATAAATCATTGAGCTGGGACCAAACTATTCTGTGGTTGATAAATCATTGAGCTGGGACCAAACTATTCTGTGGTTGATAAATCATTGAGCTGGGACCAAACTATTCTGTGGTTGATAAATCATGGAGCTGGGACAAACTGTGGTTGATAAATGATCAAACTATTCTGCGTTGATAAATCATGAGCATCAATACATGCACTGGGATATGATCAGTGCATTTAGCAAATCAGTGAACCTGACCATTAATTTCAGCATAGTTACTGAAAACCAATTTAAGCCAGATATTCACGTGGACATAATGTCAAGACTAAGAAAGTTTGTGTATAGACATATTTGATACTGTTGGATGTCCTATTTTCGTTTGAATGTCATAGTTTATCATTTTATTGGAAGTTTTCTTCCTTAAATCCTGTTTCAATTCAACTGAATATTTACATCATTATTTGTTATTGCATGGAAGGTGCATTAAAAGAAAATGCATCTTTACTGCGAGCTGATGCCTACAGCATACCCATGGACATCTTGACTGTGTCTACATTGTCTATATCACATCTATAGAAATATACATGCGTTAATAGCATGATATGTCACAGCTGGGTGATATTGACATTTATAACATGCGGTCAATGACACAATACATCTGTAGCAGATGTGGCTGAAATGGATTTCTTGTGTTGTGTATGGAATGTTCTGTATCTCAGTACTGATTGATTCCTGCGAGACATCTGTTGTATATTTCGCTATCAACGACATTTTGTCTCGAGCAGGGGCAAATTGTCCAAAGGACTGTGCTCCATATTAATATTTCTAATAATTTGTAAGGGATTCTGGTTCTATTTATCTTATGGAAACTCTTGAAAGATGCAAATGTTCACTAGATTGAATATTTTGTCATCATAAGCATAAAATTGCACATGCCTTTTTCAGGTTTTTAGTTACAGATAGTTGAATTTTGAGGACTAAAATGGTGGTCAGATTCTGTGACTTTGGTGACTGCGGATCCTCCTGCAACAATGATGCAGATTGTAGAGGCTCATGCTTTCAGTCACTAGGATGCCACACCTAGACTTAATTACATTCAGGCCATTGTGATGAAGCTGGATTATACTCACTCACTAGACGATTAGAATTTTGAACAATCTATAGACATGTTTTCTTTGAGAGGCATTTAGAAGTTGTGAAGATGAAGGAAAACTTAAGTTCAATGGATAGTCAACTTCTTTATTGCAATAAAGAAGTTGACTATCCATAGAACTTGACTATCCATAGAACTTGGTTTTCCTTTATAGACATGTTGATATAATATTTGGTTCATGGTTTCAGTTAACAACTGAAATATTTTTATATTACAATTACAAAGAAAATTTGTTATTTTTCATTCCATGGAGGCCACATTGGGTGAAACCCTCCACCAGATTATGTGGGCTCTCATTCATCATGTAGAGATTAAAGATATGTATGATGTAATTCCCTGTGTGGTGATAAAGGCTTTCCTAATTTTCAGTGGCAATTTCTCAAAATATTCCTGCATGGAAGTGAAATAAGTACAATCGATTGAAGCCTCTTTCCATGTTAACATTGTGATTCTCCAATTTTCTTCAGTTTGCCAACCTCTGTTACTCAAAACAGCTCAACCAGTCCAATGTCTTTCTTCCAGTCTGAAATGTACATGTACAATTACCACAGTTTGGCAACATATTTGATGGAACGCAGAAACTGACTCATGAATATGCAGATGAAAATACAAGTTTAATTTCATGAGGTCATGGCAATTTGATGAAACTTGTATCTTGTTAATGTAGGTCTAATGCATAGCACAGACAGGGCCAATTATTTCCCAGCACGCAAATGTATGAGTTTTCTTCACTTTCAATTTGCTGTCCAATCTGCAAGTATCACCTGAGGCCAGGATTCATTGTAATCAAGACTGGGAGGAGTTGTGTCCCTTGGTTTGTGATGCTCGGTTTGATGATGGATAAAGACTACTTAAACAATATGGGTTTTTTTTACCTTTTTTTCTTAATGTTGGAAAAAAATATTTCATCTATCAATGAAAATGTGATAAGGACACGATCCTGTGTGATTGGCATGTTCTGTTATCATGCATGAAGTACAGGATGCACAAAGTGCATGATATACCAGACACTGACTCTGAAAAACACCACGCTTTCTGGTTGAAATATAACTGTACAGGAATAAACTTGCAGATAAGTTAGAAAGTTATATCCAATTTGTGTTACTTCTTTAAAAAATAGCGAGCATTAACAAAAGGTGAAAAAATAATAAAAATTTCGTTATCTCTACTTACATCAGTAAAGAGCCATTTTATAGTGTACAACATGTGTTACACGGACAGATAGGTGATATAAACCGTATGATATATATCACAGAATGAGTGAAATGTACATGCAATAGACAAGTTATGATAGTATACATATCATATGAGAGATACTGAACAATATAACTGACAAATCATATGTTGGGTTGGAATGTGAGATAAACAGGGAGATTTGGTTCCAGTTTTTAGAAAGTATGATGTATGCATTTACTCCAGGAGTAATGGTTTCAGGCTGCAGATTAGTTGTCATATGCATTATTTATAGTTTGTTTTTGGGTAGTCAGCATATACTGGTATTTATTAACTAATAATAACCATTTAAAAACAAAGTTCTAAAAATGCTGTTTAAGATGATGATTAGTCTGTCTCACAGTCCCTGAACCACATTCATTTCCCCACATTAATTTCCCTACTGCCAAGCCCTCTCTGCAATGCTAAAGCCCTAAATAAAGCAAGTCTAGATTTCCTCAGGTTCAGGTTCTGAATCTCTGGTCTCCCTTGGGCTCCTTTTCAATATAAATGGGCTTGTTTGTTAGTATCAAAATTATATATATTCAGAGACTAAGCCTTAGTCTAGATGATGATCTGTGCACTACCCTACTCATTACAGCAGAATTCATGAAGATGTGAAGCCTCCATTTCTATGAAAAATAGAAAAAGATTGTCTGGTCCAGACGCTATTCACACTGCCATCATATAGCTGGAAGATTGCTGTGTGTGACATTAAACAACAATTACATAGACAGTCATGGTGTTGATGTAAATCTTATGTGTGACGGACTCGAGTCAACACTCGCATGACAGTTTGTTGTTCTGTTCTTGTATTTGTTGCCAATATGTGACACATGGTTGTGGAAGACAAATCAGGAAAGCACTGGAAATGTTTATTTGATAAAGTCTGACCTATCAACAAAACGTTTCACTGTCAAATCCACAAACAAACAAAATGGAAAAAGGTCTGGCCTTATGAGGTTTCCGTCTGTGTAAGTATCATGCTAATCACAATATCTGCCAGAGTGACAACCCGCTTGAATACAAGGATGATCAGGAGGTCATCTGTCGTGATCAAGAGGTCACCTATGTTGAGGTGTGACATGTCGTTGTACCAATGTACGGGATAATGATGTCAATACCATTCCCTGGCCCAGATATGTTGTAAAAAGGAAGTTACCTCTCCCTGATTGTTGTGCCACTCAACATTATTTATTTTAGTTTGCCATTTTATAAAAGATGTAATTATTCTGTTGCATCCACATCAGTCCTAACATTGATGCTGTTTGTTCCAGATCTACACAGATTGGGCCAACCATTATCTGGAGAAGGCCCGCAATAAGCGGTTTATTGCCGATCTGCAGCAAGACATCACAGACGGGGTGTTGTTGGCAGATGTCATTGAGGCAGTCAGTAAGTATAACACCCTCTTAGTCCTTTCATCTCAGGATGGCTTCATACAGTGGTAACAGTTGTTCAGTATCAGCTCAAATGTAGGTGTAAACGTCGAAATGTAAGTCAGTGTTTTTTATGCCTCTGTGTCTTCATCATAAATCAAACAGATGTTAATTACACAAGCACCAAGGATATTATTGTTTGTTTGGCCTTCTAGGTGTTGGTGAGTCAATAATACAACTGGATGTTTCGGTGTAGATTCTTGCACCGTTATTCAGCTAAATGTTTTATAAAATAATCTACACCGAAACATGGGTCTACGCAATAAATAAGAAGTTGTCCTTAAAGTCGTATGCTTCATTATTGTGGGAATCTTACCTTGCAAGGTACTGAGGGGAAGTTTAATGGAGTTTTATGTCTTGTTCAAGATAACTTTAGATATATAACATCATCTGTGGCTGCAGACTTCTGTAAGTTTTTTCGTGCAAGCCCACTGTGGTCAAAGGTTCAATTTAACATAGGAAGCCAACTCAGACACACTATACTCAGATGATGATGATGATGATGATGATGATGATGATGATGATTTAGAGATTTAACATGTGCTAATGTGTATTTTGCACACATCCACTATACACTGAGCCAACTGAGACATATCTGCTTAATCAAACCACAAATGTTCATTTCTGCTCTCTGACGCTCCACCCACAAAACCAAAGAGGTATCTTCACAAACAAATATGGAAAATGTTCTGCAAATCATGTGTGTATTTTGATGTTTGAGAAGTACTTGATGGAGCATAACTATTTACAATTACAGTTCTGCATTTTTTCATTACTGACTTTTGTTAATTCAGAGTCCCTGTCACAGACACTAACTATTCACCCAGAATAGTGTGTGGCCAAACAAAAGAGAAATACATGTACATACTATTTACAGTTTATCTGTCTTTTAGCAATACACTAGTAAATCTTGAGGACAAAATGCTATACGAGTGAGTGAGATTAGTTTTACGCCGCACTCAGCATTATTCAAGCTATATGGCGACGGTCTGCATCGATCTGCGCAATTGGGAACCGATGACATGTGTTAACCCAATCAGTGAGCCTGACCACCCGATTCTGTTAGTCGCCTCTTACGACAAGCATGGGTTACTGAAGATCAATATTCTAACCCGGATCTTCACGGGTAATATACGAGGGGCGGTGGTGTAGCCTAGTGGTAGCATATGTTCATCACACCAAAGCCAGCCCCGAGTTTGATTCCCGACATGGGTACAATGAGTGAAACCAATTCTGGTCTTCCCAGGCATGATTTGGTCTAGTTTTGCTAAAAGTAGCGTAGTTCTTAACTCATTCATTCACACACCCATGCTATACATCATCATTATGTGGTTTGTGCACATTTTGGCTTATGTAGAGTGTACACTCCAACCTGTTCAAATCCTCAGCCTACCTCGGTAATGTATACTTTGTTGGTATGGATAATGTAAAGAATCCTAAATTGCAGATCCTGGTTCTGATTTTGGTTAGCCAACACCGAACCTTTGCTCATGGTTGCCCTAACTCAACTACTCAATAGATTTTGAGGCTCAAACAGACAGGAGAAAACATGATAACTGTACTGTGTGAAGTTGCTGTAAAATCTCTATTGAATTGTGTCTCCAGCTGAACCAAAGATTTTATCTTGAATTCACATGATAAGATCTTATTGGAGAAATGTATATAAATAATATAAATATTTAATGAAAGCCATAATATTTCCATGTACAGTTGCATGCATTGCATCAGATCTTAACTTTCCTTTATACATGTATTGATGAGTTATTTTCATACTTGGTAAAGCTATTTCAAGAATAACAAACCTTCATTTGTATGACTTAATTGTCAACATGACATGAGAACACATCTAAAGGGACATAACTCCAACATCCTTAGCCTGAAATAAATAATGACAAATTTGAACATCATTTGACTATTTGACATGCAATGTATTTCCTACTTAGCTGATGTAAGACTTGGATCCTAGCTCCTGAACTTTTACCTAGTATATGTCAATGTCAGCAAGCTATCAAATGAAAACATTTAAAACTGAAAATAAGCACATGAAAGCAATATGTCCAAACAGTTTTTAACAGATAGGTTAACAAATGCATGTAAATGATGCTTCTGGTTTTAAGAAATGGTTGAGAATGACAAATGAATGGGTATATTGTATTTTGAAAGCTAAATAATGTATTGACACTGTTAACAGAGAAAGAAGGTAAATGTAACCATTAAGATAAAAAGAATATAATGTTAAGAATAAACATACAACCTTCCAGAAATACACAAATACATCAATACTTGTTCCTGAGTCATATGTTTCTGGTGTTTATTTCAGTTGTATATGTCGGGTGGTTGGGTAGCCTAATGGTTAAAGTGTTGGCTCGTCACGCCGAAGACCCGGGTTCGAATCCCCACATGGGTACAATGTGTGAAGCCCATTTCTGGTGTTCCCCACCGTGATGTTGCTGGAATATTGCTAAAAGTGGCATAAAACCAAACTCAGTCAGTCAGTCAGTTGTATATGTCAGTAAAATATTGCAGGGCAGACTTTCTGTATGAGCCAGAGGCCAAAGTGAGTGAGTGAGTGAGTGAGTGAGTGAGTGCAGTGAGTGAGTGAGTGAGTGAGTGAGTGAGTGAGTATTGCTTAATGCCTCATCAGCAAATTTGCATTTATTTTGCAAACATTCATCATGTCAAATTCTTTTGTTCAATATAAGAATGAACAATTAGGTTTGTATTAAAAGAACATATTTTGTGTTAAAAGTGGACCCCCAGTCAAACACCATTGTTTCAAAATGAAGAGCCCTATGTTTAATAAATACTTTGAGTTAGCCAACGTTCGTCACCACCTCAAAATATAACTGAATAAAAACGACACAGGGAACAAGCTTTTACTTCATGACAACCATACATTTAACACAGTGTTGTACTTCACTACATTTGATAAACAGAAGGTTTGTTTGGTGTATATATAACCTTGGTTAGTGTCCTTAACTTGTTTACATCCCAACACGGCATACAACTATACAACACCAAGCTTGTATTGTACAGCTCTGATTTCAGCTTCTGATAGTTCTAATCTGTCTAGACAAGAACACTGCAAGGTAGACCTTTGATGGTGTTGTAAATTTCACATCCTAAACGTCAAAGTTCTTGTTATCTGGAGGAGATCCTTCTGCATTGCGCACTAGTGTCTGAATCCCGGTTACACCTCTGTGTGAGCAGATCACAATATGCTTCATGTGAAACAATATGCAGATAGCTTTTTGCTGTTCTGTGAAAGTGACGACAGTTTTGTCAATTTCAAGGTAGCTGCCGGCCGTATCAATCATTTATCAGGCACACTTGCTTATATTCCAGACAACCACATGTTATTGACCCTTTCTGGAGGCTGATAATCAACTTTGCTTCACAGGATTTTCTCTCATGAGACACAATCTCTAAAAAACTGTGTAACTCAGCCAGGAAGTAAGCTTCCATTTGACACCTAACTGATTGTCTGTCTGTCTAGAATTTCATGCCTGTTCACAAAAATTGACAAGAATGGTTTGAAAATTAAGTTTGTAAAATGAGAATTAAAAAACTTGAGTAATACGGGCTGATGACTCTGTCGCATTTTTTTAGCTCAATTTTCAATCAGATAAGAGTGGTAGATTTTATCAGTGATATCCTGATTATGCAGATTCTGAGATATCCCGAGATGAAACAGCCCAAAAACAGCACCAGCTCATGCCTCACACATGTGGGTGATAAATACCATGATCTTATACACCATAAAACATAAAAATGCACAATTATGTGTAGAAGTGTGCAAGTTTTTATCATTTTTATTTTCTATCTGTCTAGCTGTAATATATATCTGTGTCAAAGGTTAGAACTAAACAGAGTGTTTTTTGTTAGTATTGACGTGATGGAAGAAGGGTGTTCAAAGTCTACTCACAAGGCACAAAGGCATAAACATACAGTTGATGATGATGATTTGGAGATTTAACGTATGCTTTCAAACATAATGCATATTTTGCACATGGGCAAAATGTACAGTTGGAACAATGGTACATTTAAAACCCAACTTGATAACTTAAATTCGCTGATAATATTTACGTATATACATGTGTAAAAAAACAAAATATGTACTAGAGTTTTTATTGAATAATTGTTGCAGAATAAAAATTATGTTGTGTACTTTTATGGAAACTGATAAGAATGTTTTTGGAAGTATTTGTGTGATCTCATGAGATAGATTTGAGCACATGTTATGAGGTTCACCAAATCAATCAGGATGTGAATTCTTCATGCATGTGATAAAAGCTCACTAAAATGGTCCTCATGAGGATGCTGGGTTAGAATTGGTCCCTTGCAGTGTATCCTGGTTGTAAGAGGGGACTTAATGGACCAGGTGATCAAACTCTGTTGATTGTCGTCATAGCACTGTGGTATGGGTCATTGATCATAAAACCAATCACCAGAAGGTCTGGATTATTTACCAGCTATCATGAACTGCTTTAAACAACAAACCAGCAGAACGAACCTTTGACGAAGCGTGGCCGTGCAGGCTCCCTGATTTAGGTGATGGTGTGACTGTGAGAATCGTTACGGTGACCATCATGGATTGCCTTGTCTTTGAAAAAATTATTTTTATTCAAACAATATTTATGAAGCAGCATGATAAGCATGTAAATTGTTTAATTTCTTGAAATTTTTGATGATTTTTATTTAATGTGAGTTTTAGCTGAAACTTGTCATCATACACTTTTAAAGCTCTAATGTGGCACAAAGCTGTCATAGTCCTTTCAAAACAAAGGCATCAACAGATGATTAGTATTGTTGTAAGGTCAGCAAAAATCATCCTCTTTAGAAAGTTCTTACCAAAGTGAAGATTTGATGATGTTTGCGAAACTTTGTGATCAGTGAAATGAGTATGAGTCACCACGAACATCATAGCACTGTCACCCTTTTGCCTTTCATGTATAT